GCGGAAGCTGGTGGAGGCACGGTCCCTCTGGTGGAAGCTGGGGGAGGCACGGTCCCTCTGGTGGAAGCTGGGGGAGGCACGGTCCCTCTGGCTGAGGCTGGGGGAGGCATGGTTCCTCTGGCTAAGGTTGGGGGAGGCACGGTCTCTCTGGTCCATCTTAGGAGTATGGTGCACTCTGCAATTAAGTTTGATGATTAGCATCAGATTTTATTTGTTTTGTATTTTGTATTGAATTCCTTTGTTGGTGTTTTTCTAAGTGGAATAATTTCTTCAGAAAACAGGAATAAAAGATCAATGCAATACTTTTTTTTCAGATAAAATGAATAACTTATCAAATTCAAATTAATAGTAAGGGTTTACCGTGGTTTTCCTGTTGGTAACACAGCTTTCTTTCTAGTGTTATTCTCTTTGGGAACAAGGCCCAATGAATAAAGAATGTTTGGAGCACTAGGCAGTTCAGCTAGTCTGCAATGACATAGCAAACCAAATACTGGATCAACACTGCATACCAGTAGCAGACAATTAAATTACCAATTCAAACTTCTTACTTCTTCCGTGGTTCAGGTTTTGAAAAGACACGTGGCACCTCAGCTTCATCTTCACCAGGGAAGTGAATGTTCTTAGGTCTAATTAAATACTTAATGTTATTAAAATTTTAAATGCACATAAATACAGGCATATAAAAAATATAACATAACTTACATTCTTCTCCTTTTGGGTTTAATTCCCCAGCTGTCCCAAGGTCTGTGTGTTCAACAGCTTCTGGAAGCTTTAGCCTCGCCTCATTGTAATCATCTACAAAAAAAACAAGTACTTAATGGTTAATAAAAAAAAATAATGAAGCGTTGATTAAAAAATATTGGTGTCGACAAATTATTAACGTCGACGTCCACTAGACGCGGCAGCTCTAAACAGAGCCAAATGTGAGCAGCACCATTACTCAGTTGGTACATTTAAATTAGACAAAGTACAAAATATTCTCCTGCTTTGACATTGAAGTCATCCACCAGCTGTGACCAGTATGATGTATTGAAATACCATTGAGTGGTATCGGTTCAACCCTAGCTCAAACACAACTGCAATGTGACTCATACATTCTTTCCACAGAAATACTGTATTTTCATGTGATTCTTTTTACTTACACTGTATGCCTTTAGACACATTCACCAAAAAAATGGTTAGGGGGCCTAGTCTCAACATAGAATCCACACAATTGTACTTACTTGATGTGAATATAACTCGGACCCTATATGGCTTCCTTCCTGCTCCACGGTT